GTCTGCAGTTTAGGCTAACCTGCAAAGATTTAATCAATTCAGCGTCGGGCTTTTTGACTCTCTGTACTTAGCCAATGAGTTCAAACACCTGCTTAAAGTTTAATATGGTCATAAGTTTTGATCTGGAAGTTGCTGAGAAACAGAAAGCCAGAATTATATTTTTCAGTCACTTTTCTGAGTATAACGGAAGTTTGCTGAGGGCCTTCCTGTCAAAAGAAGGAGATTTTAAGAATAACTGAGCTGATGATTTGTATTCACCAAAGAAAAAAATAAGTTCTTTATTTGGAATATGAATTATACTTATTAGGTCTTTCTAAAATAGTCAATTGCCTGCCAGTTACAGTACTTTATTTTTGTACTCATTAACTAGAAGTGATCTAGAAATATATAGCTAATGCCAGAATTTGATATCAATATGTTTATAGCATACCCATCTGGATGGAAATGAATATAGTTAGTCTCTTTTCTCTGTGAACAGCTGGCCCCTGAGCAAGCTCCACTCTTTTGTAAGAATCCCTGAACTGGACATAGCTACCATTAATACCCATAGTTTTAAGAGTGGAATCAAAGTGCCAAGAATCTCCTCTTGTACCTGTGCACAACAGCTTATGACAAAACACGCTACCCCAAGCAATACTCTATACAACATAAAAATTGAAAAAGGCAAAGCTTCTCCAACTGGTACTTGGGTTATACAATCTAACATAGGAAACAGTCAGATATAACATGATGAACAATGTCCTCACAACGCTTACACAAAGTGTAAGAAATGCTGGAAGCTAGAGTCCACAAGAGCACTAGCCTTCCCATGAACTTGTCTCTCTCTCTCTCTCTCTCTCTCTCCCCCCCTTTCCCCACTCCTCCCCCACCCAAAGCACCAGACAGTAGAGCCAGCGTTGTACAGAGAAAATGCATTCTGCTCTCTTTCAAAGGCTGCATCAGTGTACATACCACCTCTACCCATTGGAAAGCTTCCATCTTCTCCAGGAATGGTGGGCTACAATCTGGAGTCAGCTTGTACCTCAGTGACACCTGTTTTGTCTTCCAGTGCAAACTACAGAAGCCTTGGCTGCCCATACAGAACAGACTAGTTGGGGAATAACCAGGCATAGGGGTATTTGTGGTTATGCCTCCACTTGTTCCTGGCCTCCTAAAGAGCAATGCTTCCACTGTCTCTATAAATATTGTGCACTCTATTGCACCCCTATGTGTGTGCATGCAGGTGCTAGTGGCTGACGCTGGTGGTTAATGGTCCCCTTGTGCCAGCTGCAGCATTGAAATAAATTTCCCTGTGCAGCTGGGTCTTTCTGTTGGGCCACGACAGTTCTGCACCACCCCTTCCACAGGTTTCAGCTTAACAGTATGACTTAGGTATGACTTAGGCTGAAGTGGTCAAGGTGACTGATTACTACTAACAAGATATTCTCAATTATTAGGCAACGCTAGCAGTGGTAACTAAGTTACTTCCCACCTCAGATCCTCCCCTCCACTGTAATACAAAGATGCTTTGTGCAACCTTGGAAACAGAGCCTTACTGTAAAATCAGAGGGTGGATTTTTTTAAAACCGTACGAAGTAATTTAAAAACACGTATCAGAAACACCCCTACTTTGCACTGCTATCTTCCTACTGCCATTTTGCTCTTAGTGCCAGACTAATATCATTGCAAATGACAGTACATATCTAGAGATACAAATTAAAAAAGAGCATGAGATCTTCACTTGCAACAATGGTGCTTATTGGCAAGTGCACATCATGCAATGGAAATACATTAAAAATTGCAACACTATGCATCACTGCAATGAGCCAAAGGTCACAATGCAAGACTGAGTGTGCCAAGTTCAAGTGGGAATGCTCTCAGTTATAGGTGTGGGGAGGGCAGGAGTTGTTACTTCCTACTACCACCGTCACATCAGCTGCCTGATTTCAGTGAAAAAATGGTGCACTGAAAGGGGCCTGATTCATGTCATCAGGCCAGAAAGGACAATACTAAAATGCTTAAGCTATGATAAAAGAAGAATGTACTATACCAGATGGCTGTGCTCCAACATTAGTGTTTCGCCCCATGTAGCAGGAAGAAAGAATTGTGGGAGCAAGGAAAATAATGTAGCATTAAACTTCACTGTAAAGATAAAGCCTCCGGCCCACTGCTTGCCAACAGTCAGCTTCTCAACTTGGGGTAGCCGACACAAGGAAGGCCTAGTTTTGGGAACAGAAGACCAAGCTGAAGTTGCATCAAGTGCTCCTGGAGAAGTGTAAAAGAGATAGACATGTCTTCTACAAAAGAAGAGATCCCTGATATTTTTAGAAAAGTACTGACAATTCCCTGCTTTTGTGGGGTTTTGAATAATTCATATATCTCCATCAATAGTTCATATCTACTTATTATAAAAAATAATCTGGCTGGCTTTACAGAACTCAAGAGTCAATCAGGGTCTTTGCCATAAACCAGCTGTTTGGGTTGTTTTTAAAGGTTTTTCTTTTTAAAGAAAAAAAAGAAATAAGGAATCAAATTCAGATTATTTCTTCCAGGCAGGCAGAAGGGCACAGCAGGCAGGACTGCTTTTGGTTGGCACACAGCCGGGCTCCTAACTATTTGGCAGCTTGCATGATAAATGAACACATTTCTCACAAAATGAGTTTATTACAAATAATTTGCCAGCTCCCCTCCAAATCATGAAGCACTTCTCAAAATTTGAAAAAGATCTGCATGAATCACAGAAAAGAAATAATTAAAAAAGCAGATTATTTCCAGTTCCCTTAGATGAAGTCCAGTTCTCAGCCTGAGTCTCCTTTTCTATATTTAATTAATTCTGACAGAAATTCAAATGCAAATGTATAGGTGCATACATGAATTTCTTACTGGATGAGGACCGATTTAATCATGGAGTTAATTTTAAGTCCATGTTTAGTACTTTGCTGTATTAGAGTTGGAGGTTCTATTTCCCCATAAACTGTCCAATCAGGGCCTCTGTCCTGAAGATCCCAATCACTTTGTTACTGCTCCCACACACACTCCTTTGCTGTTCTACATCATGGCAGTAACCTCAGCATTTGAATGGCATTCACTTCAGGAGCTAATGAAAGAACGCTTTCGTGCACTGCTAAGCACAGAACTTATCCATGGTGGCACATGTTGCCTCCTTATTCTTTCCATCCCAAATTGACCCTAGCAGTTGATGTACAATGCCCAACATTTGAACCAAGATCTCTATTAAAACAGTGTGGAATAGTGTACTGTTCCAAAGCCAGAGGGTATGAGAAGATCTACAAGTTTTGAACAGGATATTTATTATATCATATCATACAGCATTTTTAAGAGATATCTTGCTATATTGAGAGTATTCAAAACTGTTAACAGAGGGTCACATTCCTCCTTGGTTTAATTCATTAAATTTTGTGGAATCACATTATGGAACAATACAATCCGCAATGAACTATAAATAGATTTTGAATATTTGATTTTTACCTCATCTTGTTGTGAGTTCAGTAGCTGCAGTTTCATGTGCTTCATGTAGGCCATAGTAATTGGCATGTTGTAATCAATCATACTAGTCACCAAAGTCGGAGGTTTTCCATTATCTGTAATAAAAATATTTATTATGCATGATATGTTAATTGTGGAAGCTACCTCAGTATAATCTGCTGCCAAATGCCAAACTGTTTCTCGGTTGGCTCCAACTTTGGCATTTTCAATTGCTTTTACAACATACAGATAGCTATTTCCATGAAAAGAAAGTAAATCAAGCATAAGCATGAAAAATTATAAACTCTGCTATCCTAAATGACTACAGCAGATGAGCCCTATCCATCGTTTATTGTTATATGGACATACAAGCATTTCCATAAGAAAATAAATTATTTTATCCAGGTAAAATCATCTTTCTTTTAGGAATGAGTATGGCACTACACTCCATCCTTTAAGGAAATACTAAAGATTCACTACCTTCTAACTTAAGTGAATGAGAAGATCTGATTTGTTGAACTGTTCCAGTCTACCAAATTTTTATGAACCTTCACTTACACTAGGAAAATATAAATGGATATTAGGAATAAAATTACTTTACATCCCACTATTTGACACTACAACTACCTTTATGATCCACTCCATCTGGGTTTAAATGCATTCTTTTCTGGCACTCTGAGCAGCTCATTAGAAATCGTGTCACCGCTTCTCTTGGTAGGAAGGCATAGGTCTCTGAAATCTGAAATGAATAACAAAATATAGGTGTTATTATATAAGCTGATTGAACATGATTTAACAGAGCTGATTGTTATATTTCTGAATAAGGCATATTATCGTATAATGCCAGGAAGCATAATGGAAGCATGCACTGCATACTATGCAACATTTCAAGAAACATCTTTCTAATCTAGCTACTTATCATCTAATAGCTAATAATAGCTAAAACTGAGAAAACCCACTCATTTCAAAACCAGCTTAGTTGTCTGTTTATAGTTTCTGTAATTTCTTTTCAGCAAAAAAGACTCGTATGTAACAGACATCCAAGTGAGACATTATTTAGGGGAAAAAATCCTCTTCCCCCCCCTAAAATATACTACAAAAATGTGTTGAAAAAATACTGATGCTTCTCATAGCTATTATCACAAAAACTTTCTGTGTTTATATTATTTATTTAATTTTAATACTACACAGATTTAATTTTAATTTTTCACAGAGTCAACAAAAAGATACTAGAAACGGTAGGTAACCAAGGAAGATAGTCCCCTTAATGTTCTACTGTTGCATAAGTTTCATCTATTGTTGAAAATACTCTCAGATATTCAATGATATATGTAACTATTTAAATAAATTCTTTCCGCTAACAGCTCTGGAATTTTAAATTTACCATCTCAAAAATCTTAAATGTATCCCTTCACCTGAAACTTGGAGCACTTTGAAATAATATATCTCGGGGCACTCATTCCAGACAAATCACCTCTTCATACCTTAAGTTCACAAAGAACTATGCATCTTTATTCTTGACGTGTGCATCTACACATGCATTTGATCTGGGATCACTTTACTTGCAAGTAAACTACTCATTAGCAGGGATCCTGGTTTTCCATTTCCCATGGCAAAACAGAGAAAACCACAGATTTCCACTTTTTATCAGAGAAAATGCAGATTTCTCCTTTTAGCAGAGAAACCTGGGGATTCCCTGCTTTTACAAACAGTTCTTCAGGCTGGTTGAGCTTCAGCTTGCAAGAGCTGTTTGCCAACAGGGTGGGAAACCCCAAGCCCTGCCCAGAGGGGAAGGGAGAGGGAGAAGGGTGGGGCCTGAGGCTCTCAGTCAGCCACAGCTCCGCTCAGCTTAGCTTCATTCCTGGAGGCTGAGGTAAGTGGGGCTTGCAGGCGGCAAGGGACCCCTCTGGTGGGGCTGGAGGTGTTATGGGTCACGACTGGGGGAGCCAGCCCCGCCACCACCTGAGCAGGCAGCAGCAGTGGGGGAGCCAGCTCCATGCTGCTTCTGCTGCAGCTGCCTGCTGTTGGGGGCAGGGAGCTGCAGACTTGGGGGGCCCCATAGCGCTGGGAGCTGGGGGGGGCCTCCAGCAGGGATGGGGGGCAGGGGCTGTGGGTAGGGGAAGAGGCATGAGTAGGGCAGGGAGCTGTTGTGGGGGCAATGAGGGGCACCAGCAGGGTTGGGATGGCTTTGGAGGGTGAGTGAGGGGCACCAGCAGGGCTAGGGGGACTGCAGGGGGCTTTTAATTTTAATAATGGATTTGAGGGGTTTTAATCAGAGAATTTGCAATTTTTTGTCACAGAATTTGTGATTCATCAGAGATAACCAGGATCCCTGCTCATGAGTAAACGCTCCTGGGCAGTTGTCTACACATGCAGGGAGGTGGAAGAAAATTTGCTGCTCCTGCAATGGTCCCCTGCCACCACCAAGGGGAGCTCAAGGCTCCAGTGCACCTGCCAGCAGCTGGCAGCCATTTTTCAAAGGCAACTCCACTCTGTGCTGCCTTTTCAGCTGTTCTTCTGGTCAGGAGCAGCGTGCAGAGGCCGGGGCCAGCAAATGGCAGCCCTCTCGCTCCAGCCTCTGCCTCCGTGTACCATGGCTGCTCCAGCCCCTGCCCCTGGCAGCAACATCCAGTGCCCCAGGCTCCTGCTGGCCATGGTGCTGGCCCTGCTGGCCCCAGTGGGTCCCCACTGCTAAGGACCCGGGTGAGCTGCACACCCACCAGAAAGAGCCAGGTTACTGAGTGGAAGAGGCACTGCCTGACCACCTGCTTACACACTCCCCGCTGTAGCTTACCTGGACAGATGCCCACGTATCCCCTACCTCACCAGCCACCCCCAGCACCATGCTAACTGAAGACAGTTCTTAGAAAAACACTTTATTCCCTCACTACAAACAGACGCCTCCCCCTCCCTCCCTCTCCAACAATGGAACCCCTCCACCACCAACAAAACACCCTCTTACTCATGCAAACTATTTACAAGTGAAGTGATGTGGTTGTGTGCATGCCCTCCTGGCATGGGTGGCCATGGGGTGGGAGAGCCTAGGGGGCAGAGCCTGGGGACAGGCAGCCACCACACTGGCCTCTGGCCACTGCCTTATGTGTGCACACGCTGTGGTGAGTCAGGTGGGTGGGGGGCTCGCCCTGGGCAACAGTGGCTGGCAGCCCCCTGGCATGGGCATCTTCCCCTCCAGCAACCAGTGTCCAAGGCTAACAGGGCTGGCATGTGGTCCTTCTCCCACTGCAGGCAACTCTGTGCCCACATAGAGCCAGGGTGAGCAACAGGCCTGGGCCCAGTGTGGGTGGCTGGGTGGCAAGGGACCCAGGGCAGGGGCTGGGGCAGAGGCTCCTGGCCCATGGAGGCAGCGCTAGACTTTTGCCCAGGCCCATGGGGGGGCCTGCTGCTGGGCAGTGGGCAGCTGCCAGAAGGCAGGTGGGGCTAGGGTTGGGGGCCAGGCAGCACAGGCAGCAACTGCCAGGATGGTTTCCAGCACTTGACGCTTGTACTCCATGGCCTCCACTGCCCTGCCGATGCCTGCACTCTGCTTCTGCAGGGCCTACAAATGCTCACACTCCAGGGCCAGGAGCTGCGCCCTGAACTCCCAGTCTGCCTGGTCCCGCACATCCTTGCGGGCCACATCCTCCGCCAGGCAACGTCTTCCACCAGAGAGTTGTCTGATGTTGTCATCAGCCAGTCCAGAACGAGCATCATGTCCTGGGTCCTCCTCTGGCAGAGCCAGTGAATTTGCAGGGCCCTGGCTGTGGGCAGCGGCGACTCTGAGGCTGCATCCTGGCTGCCAATGGTGGCCTCTCCCCTGCGTGCAGCTGCAGGGCCTGCAGAGGCATGAGAAAGAAGCTGTTCTTGAGAGTTTGCAACATTTCTGAAATAAGATACTGTGTACCGGGGCCCATATGCTATCTGGCACGGGTGCCCATGGACCATGATAGGTCAGCTGGATAGGCCTGGACGCAGGAGGCTGCCAGCTGAGCCCCTCATCCCGCTTGCTCCCCCGTTGCCAGTGGGCCACGGATGCTGGTCACAAGCAGCCTGCCTCCCCTGCCCTATTACCAGGCCAGGACCAGCCAGGCTCCTGGCTGCATCTGCTGCCATGGCTCCAGACCCTGCTGCCCCCACATCCCCTCCTAAAGGCCTACCAGTCTCCTGTGCTGCCACCAATCCCACAGCACCCAGGCTTGGGGGAGGGTGCAGTGTTCACAGATGACTGGAAAGAGGAGCTGCTCATGCCCTCACCCTCCCTGCAGGGGGTCTCTCTAGGGAGCTGCCCCAGGGCCAGGCCTCCCCCCCACAGCAGCACTGCACCCCAAGCATGCCCCTGCTGTGTGTGTCCCCAGCACTGCACAAAGAGCTGTTTGCACAGACCGAAGGGTTCCTGACCCACTACACCCTGTTACTGCTGATCGCCATGGTGGCCTGGGCACAGCTGGCATGGGACCCTGAGCTTTGATGGTGTGGGGGGAAGCCTGGGTTGCCCTGCAACCTCTGCCACGCCTGGAGGGATACCTGTGGCTCCACTACACATCCCTGCCCCCCACAGCTGAGGAAGACATCACTGCCAGCATTGACACATTCCTCAGCATGTGAAAAGCCCATGCCTGCCTAGCTCGAGGCACAGGCTGCTCAACAAACTTTTGCACTGTCTCCCACCTCCCTGCATGCTGTGGGTTGGGGGTGGGAAATAAAGGGGCCAAGGGAGTGCAGCCAGCCCAGGAGGGAAGCAGGGGGGCAATGGAAGGGGCTAGGGCCTGAGCAGGGGAAGGGCTGGGGGTGAGGGAAGGAGAGCCCTCCCCCAAGTCCAGAGCTTACCCCATGGCCAGGGCTGGTATGGCCAGCAGGTCCAGTCATTCCCAGCTGGTGGCGATGTCATGCGGCTCTGGGTGGACTCACTGGATGACAGGCTGTGTTGTGCAGGTGCCTGGCCAGGGGTCCTCCCTGGGCAGGAGCTGGCACTGCTGGCAGCTGGCGATGGACATGCCTGGCCATGCCTTGTGGCTGGAGCTGAGGCTGCAGAGCTGTTGAGGCAGACGCTGGCCCAGGCTGGTAGAGGCTGCAGATGGGCAGCTTGGTGGGATGGGCTACTGGTGTCCTGCGGGGTCATCCACCAGTGACACATCACCACTGGTGCCAGGCCAGGCCAAGGGCTCAGGCCTGGGCTGCAGTACACAGCACGGCTGCAGCCTAGGTCCCAGGACACAAGGATGTCTGTCAGCTGCTGCATAAAGGGCATGGACTTGCAGGCACTCTCTGACCAGTGATTGTGGTCAGTGATGGAAACCCACTGTGCCCACAAGGCCTTGACCTTTATGCGGCACTGCCACACTGACCGGTTGTGCCTGCACTCCTGCATCTGGCCTGACAGACCCTCACAGACATGGGCACTGGAGCCCTGCATAAACTGCTGCTGCACCTCCACCTCAGCTCCCAGTGCCATGAGGTCACCCGTCTCCTCCTGTAACCAGTTGGGGCCCTACACATCTTCTGCCAGCAGAATGGGGTCAGAGGAAGG